TTGTCTTCAGGAAGTGTCTGTATCCAGTGTGCTTTTCTATCCAATCATGTAAACCAAATGTAACTTCCTCAACCAATGAACTGCTGATAAATGCTCACTTCTGTGTCCCCAACCCCCTTCCCTTGACCCATATAAACCCTGTTCACACTTCCAGCTTCCGGGATGATCACTTTGTAGAGAAATCCCGGATCAGTCCACCAGCATCATAAAGCTGTACACTTGCCTCCAACTTCCGGCTACGTTCTCGATTCTTCTTGGCCCGACCTCGTAGTCCACTAAGCGCTGCCACACTGTGGATTGTAGCTGTTACACAGGTAGAGGGAAGCAATGTTAATGCTCTGGACAAAGGTGTCATTGCCATTTCAGTGCAACAGTTTCCAAGACAGACAACAAAGAACAAATATTACTGTAGAAAAACAAGACCCATAAGACTAGAGTTCAGAAAGGAAAACAGAGGTTAATTTGTTTTAAAACAACTAAATTGTAAACAGCACAAAAAAAGAATGGCTGTTGCTACACTTATAAAGAACATTTAAGCCGGGCGTGGTGGCGGCATCTGTAATCCCAGCACTCAGGAGCCTGAGGCAGGAGGATCACTGCAAGTTCGAGACCAGCTTGGGCTCCATAGTGAGTTCCAGGTCAGTCTCAACTACATAGTGAGACCCTGTCTCAAAATACCCCCCACCAAAGAAAAGAAAAAGAATGTCTGAATAAGGAACATTCACACCTATTTTACTAAATCCTTTTCCAAAGACTCTGTATGTGAAAAAGAAGTGATTAGTGAACCCATTCTACACATGGGAAAATAAAAGCCAAGATCTTGAAGGAAGGTCTCAGGTCACAGGACGCAGGCAGGTTCCACCACCCTGACTGCCTGGCTACCTCTCTCACGGGTTTCCTCTCCCTGGAAGGCTGATTGACTTCATGGCTACCTCTGCCATCTTGCTCTTGATGCCAGAGTGAAGAATGAAGAGAAACCTCAGAGACACGTTTAGACATGTTGAAATTATGCAAGAGACATGCCAGAGAAACTACTTTATTTTTAAAAATTAATTCAGTTTGGGGTAGAAAGGTAGCTGGACTACAGATACAAAAATGTCTAAAGAACTTATGAGGCAGGGCTGGGGATTTAGCTCAGTGGCGCTGCACCTGCCTGGCAAGTGCAAGGTCCTGAGTTTGATCCCTGGTACAAAAAAAAAAAAAGAATCTACAAGGCATTACTCAACCATTTATTGACAATACCTGACAGATAGTAGAACAAACTCATATGTCAAGAGTCACTTCGAGATTAATACCAAAAATAACAAATAGCATTCTCAGGCCAACAGGCCCCTATGTGGCTCCTTGACAGCAAGGAGGGGTACATGGGGGTCCTTGCTATGACCCAAACCTCTGTAAGTGCTGTGCCAGGCCAGGTGCCCATCCACCTGTGCAGAGTGGGGAAACATACCTGGTCCTCACCCAGGTCGCCTCTGAGATGTGCTTCCTTCCACTCACAAAGTAGCAAAAATGCCCTTCCCGAAATACTGCTGTTTTCGGCCCATAGAGGACGCAGAAAGAAGGCAGTCTGCCATTAGTAAGATTTTCATTTTAATTATTTCATTAATTCTCTCTTTCTTTTTCTAATTAAGCTGGTTTCATCTTAAAAAATCCCAGCAATAGGAGTGACCTTTGCACTTCCTGAGATCCTAACCTCCCCAGAAACGTGCTTAGCCTGTGATGGGCCACAGTCAATATTTGCTGACTGAGTGAATGAATTACTGGACAAGGGTTGTAAACAGTTCTCGGCCCAAGCATACATTTTTCCCCTCTGTACTTTTAAATGCAGTTAGAGAAATGTGCATTGCTGAGAATGTCATTCTCAGGATAAAACAGTTTTTTGTTTGTTTATTTGTTTGTATTTTTAGTACCTGGGATTGAATGTGGGTCTTTGTGCTTGCAAAGCAGGTGTTGGAACCACTGAGCTAAATACGATGGTACACACCTGCCATCCCAGCTACCCAAGAGGCTGAGGCAAAAGGACCACAATTTCAGTGCCATTTTGGTCAATTTAGTGATGGTCTGTCTCATAATAAAAAGGGTTGGGGATATAGCTCAGTGGTAGAGCATTCCCAGGTTCCAGCCACCCCCACACACACAGTACGTTCTGCTGTAGGTCATTTGTGTCTTGGAATTTTTTTTTCCTTCTGCATTATTTCTCCTTCCATCTTGGAACTATTTATAACTTTTTTTATTTTATTTAGTCAGCTTGTTGCCAGTGTGTGCTCTCTGGAGCAAGAATTCTGTAAGTGTAGATTCTGTTATATGTGGAGCATTGAAATAGCACTTGTCTCTCTGTTGAGTCACAGAAGGGAGGAGTGATTGGGTGGATGGGCGATGGAAGGAGGGATGGATGGGTAGATGAATGGATGAATAGAAGGCGGAGGATGGAGGATGGATAGACAGACAGATGGTTGGATGGATGGATGCATAGATGGGTGGATGAGAGGATGGATGTACTTTTGGAAAGCTTTCTTATGATCTACCATTAGCCTCAAATCCCTTTGTCTTTTCCCTGTGACTACCCTCAGAAAACATAAATATGATAATGTAAATCGCCTGTTTGTACATCACCAATCATTTATCACAGACTTCAGCAGGAAGTTTAAAGAACATAGAATAGGATTTAGAGTGGTGTTTTCTCTTTTATCTTCTATTTACACTCTGCTCTAGAAGGGACTCTGGAAATTGAATTTTTCCAAATATGCTATAAACTTTTATAATGGGAAATGTTTTCACATGCTCTTGTTTAGATCCTCAGTCACTGATCTGGATCCCTCGTCACTGGTCTGGATACCTAGCCTCTGATCTGCATTCTCAGTCACTGGTCTGGATCCCTAGTCATTGGTCTGAATTCTCAGTCACTGGTCTGGATCCCTAGTCACTGGTCTTTGTTATCATTTACTTGCCTGCATCTTCATCTCTGGTCTGGATTCCTAGTTCTGGTAGAGCCCTAACCCCTGTTTGAGCCCTCAGTCATAGGGTTGATTGCTGGTCAGTCTAATAAGTTACAAATTCAGGGTATTTCTGTCTACTTTCTAAGTAAAGATTTTTCTATGCAGCTTTGAGCAGGTCAAAGAGTCTCATTCCCAGATGTTCCACAGGATTTGGAATGTGCCTTCTTTCATGGTTTTCTGTGAGAAATGAAATACAAAGGGAATTACAACCATAAGACTGTTCATACTAGGGAAGGTTTACTGATCACTGATCAGCTGGATTTTACAATCTTTTAACACACCTTAATGATCACACATCCTCTGAGGTGATATTTCCTCTTGTCACTGCCTGCTGGATGTTAAGAAATCAGCTCCCTGAGGCAGATGGTTTCCACCGTTCTGTATGTACTGCATTATGCGGAGAACACAACATTTGCAAAGTTCCCTCTCCAACTGTCCCCTCTTGGGAATCCCTTGGGAGTTTGCCTCTGATTCTCCTGTGGCGGTGCAAGCAATGCCTATGCATTGTTTAGGATTTTCAAAAGTCACTTTCCCCATGTCTTCCAAGGTGGCTCAGGCACGACATCATCATGTGTGGTTAACAATGCAGAGTATCTTCACTTCACGATCCTCTGGCTTCAGAAGAGATGGCTCATTTCAAACGTTCTTTATATTTCTACAACACTGGCTTTCATAGTGCCATGTCTTCGATAGTTAATATTCATTGTCAATCACCACCCTGAGAGATCCTAGGAAACTGGTATCAAGAAGTAGAGTCATTGCTGTGACTATACGTGATGGTTGGGAGGCGTGTCTTTGGAAACTGACTAGGAAAGCCTGGCGAAATGGCCTAGAAAAAACCCAGAATGTTGTAGGTGGAGATTAACAGGCAATTCCTGGGGGCTCAGAAGTCCAGAGTGTCAGTGGGAAAGTGGACAGGAAAGATATGCTGATGATACTTCAGATGAAAATCAAGACAGGGCTGGAAATTGGGCTAGTGGCCACCTCCGTGCCCCGATGCATTGCAGGTCAAAGGTGATCGACTAATGTATGTATCAGATTTTCTTGACTAGAAATAGTAAGGCAGCACAGAATTCAAGCAGTAGCTTACACATGATTGGATGCTATAACAAAACTGACAGTGACAAACAGGAGCAAAAAGAAGCAGAGGGGAAAAAGGAAACATTCCAGTTAGCTGAGAACAAGAGTGTGCTTAAAGATGCAGCCAAGGAGGGTTTGGTTGTTGGCACCAAGAAAAAGAAGCCAAGGGCTTTGCACTGAGGCAATGGGAAGCATGATTTGTTTCCTCTCAGCAGAGCAGTCTAGGTAACAACGCATTCAGAGGCCACTGCAGTCATGTTTACAGCATGTGTGTCAAGGCGGGGAGTCCTCGTCCTTCTCAGTCACTGGATCTGGCACCATGTGCCTCCCACCTGTTCCCCTAACCCAAAAGTGACCATGAAAGGGAATCAGTTCAGGACATGAAGGCAGACAGGACAGCACAGCTAAAGACCCTCAGGAAGTGGCAAGATGATGGGACAAGTGTGTTTAAAGTAAGGGGGAGGATTTTAAGAGGGATTCATAGCAATGTGTCTTTTACTGTAAATTTTATTTTACTTAAACATTCACAGTATATTTTGATCACACCTAGTGTGTACTAGGAAGTTAGTCCTGTGAGAAGTCTTTTCTTCCTAAAAGCTTTGTAGAGCTTCTAGTACACTTCTAGAATACTACCAGCATATTGGTAGTAAAAACAACAGAACTGGTAAAAGTTAAACATTAAGCAATATTTCATTATAGCACATGTTATCTTGTATGAAAGGTGATTGTTTTTCTTTCCAATAAGAGCTGTTAGATTGTTAAATGATTAACATGATGGTTGAACAAATGCAACAATTTCTTTTATATACAGTTGATTTATATACAGTCTGCCAAAAAATGTATGCACACATCAGGAAAAGAAAAACTTGTATAAATATTTTAATACTAAATTTATTGAAACATTATGAGATGAATACAAGTTACCTTTGGCCTCTACAATTACAAAAGGTGCTCAGAGTGGTGGTCAGTCACTTCGAGACATTTATTACTATGGCAAACTGCTGCTTGGGTGACCTCAGTCAGAGATCGCTGCACATGCATTTTCAGTTTCTTCTCTACAGGCCAGCAGTGCAGAGCGTTTTCTGTAATATGCGGCATTTTCTAGGGTCCCCCATGGGAGTGTGACACCACCTGTTGAAAGAACAGAATATGATTTTTCTTTTCCTGTACTGTATATACACTTTTTGGTGGCCTCTTCTATACGTTGTAGAAGTTTTTGAAGGTGGTTAATACTCATCTAAAAAATGAACATATACCTTTCATGGACAAGACAGTGATTGCAGTTGAAATACAGGAACATTATTTATACTGCTAATAACCTGAAAAAATGACTTTTCCATCTAGTTACATGGATAGTCAGTAAGTTAAATACACTTCTTCCTGCCTGATTTTTTTTCTTTCTATGGTCCAATATAATTTTCTCAAAAAGGAAAACAGCTCAAATCTACCAAAGGAAATAATATTTTTGACAAGGAATTCTAGAACACAGTCTGATGCTCACTTTCTCTCTTACCTTCTGGCCTTCTGGCCCCTTGACAGTAGACAGTTGTTCACTTACTAGGAGGAAATACCATTATTTAATATGATTATAGCAGCTCTTTGGCCTGATATTAAATGATGAAGCTCAGGGTGATGCTTCAAGTGAATTATCTTCAGCTTTGCTAGTGAGGAACATCGCACTTTGTTGTTTTCAGGCATTTTCCATAACCACCATAGAATGATATGGTTTTCAGTAGGGATGGTACCTAAGAAGACATGGAGAGACTACTGATTTGCCAGTAGGACGTTCACATCCCTGGGACGTGTTCTGCTTTCCTTCGATCAGCCCATAGCCAGCAACCTGCTGATCAGGTGTTCTGGGCAATGCATAGCGTGCAAATCTGGTGAGCAGAGCCCGCCACCCAGTTCTGCCTGACCACTGCAAACTGCAGAGTTCAGTGAAGACCGATAAATCAACACAACCTTTCAGTGAAGTTTTTAACCATCTATAAACAACTGTTCATAAAATGAGAGCACCTCGAGTTATTTCAGGGCAGAACTTTTCACATATGAATTAACTCCTGAGTTGTCTTGTCCATAGCTGCCGTGTTTCCTAAAGCCAAGCACCAGGGATGTCTGACTGTGTCTGCTGTTCCTGTCTGTGAGCATCCAGTGAGTGAAGGCTGCACAAGCACTTGGTGGTAGGAAAGGGTCAGGCAAGAAACCCAACCACCAAGAGAAAGGAGAACATCCACCACTCTTCCTGGGTCAGTAGAAATGTGCCTGAGATTCTACTGGTGATTTTTCAGCAGTGTACCTTTTGATTCTGTGCAATAAATGCAACTGCAAAAAAAAAAAAAAAAAGTCTACATAAGCCTAAAGTAATATGTGACTGGGGGGAAAAATTTTTAAAATAATAAAAAAGGAAGACTCACAGTGGGGCATGAGGGTTAAATCAGCTGTGCAGCCTCAGGAAACTGGACAGCAGGCGTCGCTCTTGATAGAGGAACGAACGGGTTTCTCCTCAGACAAGGAAAGGAAATATGTCCCCATTTATCCACCAAAGATCATTGTGACAAGCAACTTTTTTCTAGGTGCATTCGTCAGAAATGTTCGTGTTGCATGCAAAAAAAAAAAAAAAAAGAAAAAAAAAAAAAAAAAAAAAAAAAAAAAAAAAAGGAAAGAAAGAAGAAAAAAGAAAAGAAAAGAAAGAAGGAAGGAAAGAAAAATAACTACAACACAAATCACAAATCAAGCAAGCAACCAAACAAACAAACAAACAAAAATCCAAAATAAAACAAACCCCCTCACTTGGAAACCAAACCCTCTGCTTTGGAGGCGCGCAGAGACCGCCGCACAACCAAGGGTCACTTTTGCTGTCTCCACCTCTACCCTACCCAGTGGCGAACACCTTCTCTGCCGGGGAAGTGACCCAGTGCTGGGGGCGGGGGTCTGTGACCGGGAGACACAGGGGCACAGGACAGACAGACGGACAGGCCGGCGGCACAGGGACAGGGTCCAGACGTCCGCGTGCTCGGGAGCGCCTGCCCGGGGAGGCTCCGCCCGGCCCGGAGCGCACACCTTTCCCCACCGGATCCCTGGGAGGACGTCCAGCTCCTGCTGGAAAGCGCCCACAAAACGGGAAAGTGCGCGATCGCCTGATAGCACATTTTACAAGAAAAAGCATTCAAAGAAGTAAACTGTTGAGCCTTCTCCGGTGCCGGCCACGCGGGCCGCGGCCCAGGAGCGAGCGCGGACGTCGCGTCTCCAGCGTCCCTTCCTCAGCGGATCGGCTCGGCTCG